CTGAAATTATTCTTGAATTTAATAATAAAGTAAGTATTTGTAGACTACTGAAGATAAAAGAGCTCAATTATCATCAGTACCTGCTGATAGAAAGAGCTGATCAATTATGAGACTCTTAACACTCTCTCTCAGATCAGCTATCACAGAGTACAGTACTTTCTCTCAGTAACTCTCTTCAGTGATCTTCTCACAATGACTTCTTTTTAATAATGAACTGAATCACTCAGTTCTAGAACTCAAAGAAACTTCTAGAGCATACTTCTGAGATGTCTCTTGACACTGTTAAAATGTTCAGAGTATTTGTTAGGAATTTTTAAGTTCATTCTGAGATCAAACTCATGCATGTTGATCACAGCAGGGCTCACACTTAACAGTCTCATAATCTGTAGGCTACTGGGGTAAAAGAGCTTAATCATCATCAGCGCCTGCTGATAGAAGAGCTGATCAACCACGGGACTCTCAACAGTATTTATATAATTTACACTGAATTGATTATTAACTGATTTTCAATTAATTGTTAATTATTTAAATATATAGATTGAATTTATTTTATTACTATAATTAATTAATAATTAATTCAGAATCAATTCAAAATTAATTATTAAATATTTTTATCTTGATATATTTTAAAATTCTGTAAAACATCACTTTATATTCTATATGAATTTATCTGTTTATTTAATTAATTATGAATCAGCTATACATGCTTTGATTGGTTGATGAGCTGAACCAACTGATTATTACTGTATTGTGTGAGGTCAGGGTCATGATTAGGTCAAGTGGCGCACTTAGCGAGGTCAAGTTTTCTGTATACACTATAGGAATACATTAAACAATGCCGCACACGCACACGCGTTCGAACAACGAAGAACCAAGGTCAAGAATCCACTGCGAAATGGAAGAGAGTGGGGAAGAGTGAGCGAGTTTTATGACTAGAGTTATGTTATTTGCGCGCTCTTGTTGTATTCGAGATGTGAGAATGGCTTCGACATTGATCGGCCGCTCTGGTCGAGAGTATCTTCGAGACAAGATCCTCAAGCACAACCCAAAAAGTCCGGATCTCAGTGTCTATCTTGCGCGGTGAGCCATACATCTCGAATTGCACGAGTCTATTTGGTTACTGACTGGAAGATTTAGGTGCGGAAACCAATACTTTGTGCTAAAACACGTATCCCCTTCGATCTTCGAACAATCGCTGGAACTTAAGCAAGAGTTCCCAGAAACGGGTCGTCTTCGAGTGCATGATGATGATAATGAAGCCGAACAAACCCTTATCTACATCCACTTTAGCGATAATTTGCTTTCTCTTGTGAAGAACAACCCAAACATGTCGATTGCGCCTCGGAAATGGATATTGTGGGAACTTGGGCAGGCGTTAAAGGAGTTTCATGCCAAGAACTGGATACATATTGGTAATATGCATCAGCCTGCTCATCAGATCCAGGCACTAACCAAGTTCCCCTTTTTAGACGTCAAGCCTGATAATGTTATGGTTGATTACCGTTACGATCAGGCCGGTCAGCTCGCACCGGAAAGGGTTGTGCTAGGTGACCTAGACTGCTCCTTGAAGCTAAAAGGCGACAAACTTCTTCGGCTCCCAGACGGAGTCAAAGTAGGAAATGTCATGTGGCGCAGCCCCGAAGCGCAAACGGGGCAGGGGATTGGCAATCCGTCGGATGTATTCTCTTATGGGCTCGTGGTGAGTGAGCTTATGCTTTCAATTGATGTGTTTTTGCTGAAGATAGTTTGTCTACTAATAGTGCCTGTACACCATCACCGGTGTGGAAACCCTGCACCCGGATTTCGAGCAGTTAAAGAGAGACATGATCGAACCTGAACTGGAGATTATGGGTCGATTAATATCTTTTTTTGGGCCGGTCCCAGACGAACTTGTGACTCATGTCAATAATGAGAACTGGGGTCACATCATGATGGCTATATCAGAAGGGACATTCGATGGAGGCCCAGTCGGGCCTGGGCGTTTCGAGAAGTGGGAGGAGAAGGATTACCCCAATCTTGACTCTGAGACAAAAAGATTTCTCTGGAGAATGACAAACCTCAGTCCATTGAAGCGAGCTACTATGGAAGAACTTATGGAAGATCCCTGGTGGAACATGTAATAGCATATCTACTCCAATGTCAACAATAACCACGCATGAGGCGCAGCATAGCTATAAAAAAAAAAAAAAAAATTAAGAAAAATCTAGTTCATGGATGTTAATCTCGCTGTTGTTTCCAATCTTAATGAGTTGTAATGTAGAAAGGACCTAATATTGATTCAGGACAAGCATTCTCTAATTCTCTAACAAAAAACCCAACTGCCATGCTAAACTCATCTATTCACCCCACACAGCCATCCAGTCTTCTGTTAAATTCCACGCTGCGTCTACTCGGCCGCTCTTCATACATCGCTCTTGACTCAAGGATAAACGTGCTTGGTAGTGATGTGATCTCCATTTTCATCTTCGTAAACAGTGGTGAAGTGATCCTTGCTATCACTTTCACTAGGGTGCTCAGTCTCGCCAATCTTGTTGTTACTATAAAATGTTTTTGTAGCACACGAGCCTTGGTGTGCTAATTAACGTAATCAACCACCTAACGCTCGTTTCTCTTGGAGGATAACGTTGTTGTGTTGTAATCTAACTACGCGAGTTACACTAAATGAATCCTTACCGGAAGAATGTAGGGTTAATTTACAGTGATTACACTGTGGATCCACCATTCCACCCGTGTCACGTGTCGCTGATCATAACACATGTTCCACCATTATATTCAGTGACATGTTGTTAAATATTAGATAATATTGAGACAGTGCAGAACTTTCTAACATTATCATAATACTACTCAGTAATCATGTAATTAACAGATGTCACTATCAGAATACTACTAAGATACTATGAAGCACTGTATACTATTCTATCAGTGAAATTAATACTATTAAGCTAGTTAGTTATCTATTACTCAGTATAACAGCTGCTATTCATTAACTATCTATTCTATTTAAAGAAATGAGATATCTTAATTATAATATAAATATCTTATTATCTGAGACTTATATATTAAATAATTATTATTTTTATTACTATTCTGTATTAGAATATTATATAATACTGTCTTTCAAATTATCAGTAGTCTGATAATAGTGTAATTATCAGAATTCTCTTGTAAAATTAATAGATTCAGTAGATAATTATATATAATATAATATAGAGAAATAAGTGTAAAGAAAATTCACTTAACTTCTTTTATTTTATAAATAAATATAATTATAATCTGATTAAGCTCTATTTCTTAATATTAAATAATATTCTCTTTTATAAGAGAGATTCAGTGAATATAATTTCTGATTTATAAGTTAGTAATAAGTTAATAACTGATTAATTAATAGATATACTAAACTGAGAATATTAACTTATTATAGAAAAGAATTGAACAGTAATCTAGTTTTAAAACTAAGAACTTATTTTAATTAGTATTATAGAATTCTCACAGCTTATTAAAAAAGAAGTGAAGAAGTTCAAGCTTTAAAAGATTTATAAATTATATACTGACTTTCTCTGATATCTTACTTAATAATAGATGATTAAAAATCTTCAGAGTAATATAATCTTTTATTAACTCTAACTTAATAGAGTAGTTTAATAAATTATTATTATTATCTAATTCTTTATTCATTCTCAGCAGATTATTAAACAGTGCTGAATAAACTATATATAACTATTAAATCTTCTATATCAGATATAAGTCAGATTTGTTAAAAGAATCTCTTAATATTAGTTATAAAATATGATAAAAGCTCTTCTATAAAAGTAGTATTTTCTCTATATTCTGATAATTTATTTACTGTACTAGATTCTTATAGTCTCAATACTTATTCTTCTCTATTAGAATATTATAGTTATTAGATACAGTATATTCTTTAATCAGCTTAATATAGTATAAATTAATATATATATTCAGCTGATTCTTTATATATTATATAAGCTTTGCTTTTTTAATATAATCACTGATATATATAGTAACTGTATTCATTGTTAAAGTAGAAAATAACTGATGACTAATAACTGAACTAGCTTAGAATAATTTAAATATTACTATTACTCTTATTACAGCTTTAATAAGAAATTATAATTATCAGTAAACTGTAAGTATGATTTAATAAGTTACTTCAGAATCATTTTCTCTCAGAGATTGAGATATTAATAGACTATTATTTCTTATAATAACTGTATATATCTGAATAATAAGATTAATAGATGATTAATTTAATACTGAAAATACTGCAGAAATAATTTATTTAATTACTGAATTAAGTTATTTCTTCTTAAGCTCACACTGTAAGATAAGAGATATAATAATTAAAGCTTAAGTATATTCTTGAAGCTGATACTTCTTGAGATAAGTGATCAGTAACTGTAGATAATTTTAACTGTGAGAAAAAGAGAATATCTGTAATATTCAGAAATATTCTAGCTAATTATATAATAATAAGATAGTACTTAATCTGTAATAAGTGTAAAATCTCTGATATATCAGTAAACTTACTATGATTTAATCAGATAAGAAAAAAGAGATCA